AGGGAAAGATAGAAGGATCTATCTACTTTAATTTTAATTTTCGATTTACCGATTAAAGGGAAAAAAACTTTTACTTTTTCTCGGTAAACAGGCTGCTTGTTGGCGGCATATATAGGTACACTAGTTTTATTAAAGAAGGGAAATTAAAGTAGGATATTGGAAAGAAAAAGTTTTCACCTAAGAAACTTCCTCATTCTCTATGTTGGATCTTTTGAAGTAAAAGAAAAGTTAAAGGAGAAACGCACTTTATCATAATCTCCATATACAATCTATGGCCACAAGAATACAGTGGCGGAGGTAGAGTATTGGGACTGGGTTCGGCCGAATCCAATATCTTTAATTCGAATCCTATGTTTCTCTTACAAAATTCATTGAGTATGTATAAATGATTAATTAAGAACTCAGTAACTTCTTACAATTAGAATCCCGAACCCACAAGCTTGAATTCCTGGCTCCGCCTCTGCAAGAATATAATAAAAAGTATTTTTCCTATATGGCTATTCTAAAATGAGACATCAATTTTTACTGCCATTAGTTCACATTGTTAGACATGGAAAAGTAGGAAGTGATGAAAACCAAAGGAAACTCTACAAACCCTTTTTATAACTAACCCAGCTCGATCGCTGGTCAATCTCACGGATCTTATCGGCTGGCAAACCGAAGACGGACATTACCAGCGGCGGAGACAGGATTTCTGCTAAGGGGGTTCAAAAAGAAAAAAGTTGAAAAAGATTGTAGCTAGTGGGAATTGAACCTATGACCTTACAAAAGTTTTGAACCCCTTGACAACTAAGTTATGCTTTTGGGCTGTGTCAAGGGGATTCAAAGCTTAATATATAAAGGTAAAAAACAGATTTTGCCTTATATATAAGTGTAATTTTTTGGCGAAGGGGATTCGGGTGAACCCCCTTCCGCCCCTCTAAATCCGCCCCTGGACACCACGGTCCGAGCTTTCTCCGCCAGCGACTTATGTAGCGGTCGGCCTAGTAAAGCTCGCTAAGCCTCGCTTCCCTCTCCCATTCACTTATTAACTAGTAGTCGTACCCGCGCGATGCGCGGTCAATATTAAAAATATATTTGTCACTTTGTTAATTTTTCGATGTTACATTTGGAATTATCACAATTATTTGATTATCCTATTCTATATAAATAGAATAGATATTGTCAAAATTTTAATAAATAAAATCACCATTAAATTAAAGGGACTTATATAGTCATCAAATAAGTTTTTCGTTATGTATTTTTATTTATTATATTATCCAATATTTAATATAATTATATTGTTAATAGAAATTATGACACTTGTCATTATAACATTTCTTTGCCTCTCCTATTATATATATATATA